GTTGTTTCTTTCACGATGTATACCCTGCTATATACAAATCAAATAAAGAAATGATGTTTACCTACAAAAAAAAAATATATATATATATATATATGTAATGTATGTTATTTGCAGCAAATTTAATAAATTAAGAGTAAAGCCTACTTGCATTAAAAAATATATATATAACAAGTGGTTTGGTTTGAGGGTTGTCAAGTAGATCATATTAAAAAAAATTATATTTTCTTCTTGGGATTTCTAATAGCACTATTTCAATATCAAGTCATTATTGAATTTATTATAAGTCTATACTATTTCAATACCATTTCAATATTGGTTTAGAATTCTATTTTTTTTTATATAATATTTTTATAAATTCTTGTTTTACAATTTATAAAAAAAAATCAATAAACCTATTAAATTTATATATTCAATTTAATTCCAACTAATAAAAAAGATCTAAATTTTTTTTTGTTTAAAAAAAAAACAAAGATTATTATTAATTAATAACTTAATTCTCTATAATAACAAATATAGTGAATTTCAATTTATTTTATTAATAATAATTCAAAGGTTATAATATCTTTATACATAAATATTTTTATAATTTTTTTATATTGTATTTAAATTAATTTTTTTAAAATATCAAAAATTAATTAAAACATTTTTGAGTAATAAAAATCATAAATAATTTTTTATTGAAATTTTATAAATTTAAATAGAATAAATTTTGTTGATGTAATAACAATAATAGTATAAATATATATCTTTAAAATGAAAATTTTTTTGTACTTTAATTTATTGAATTTAAATAAATTATTTTAAAATAATAATAACAATCAATATACATTGTTTAATGAAATTATTTTTTTAGCATAAAAATCTTGGAACTACCATTTTACAACTATGATTTGTAGGAAATACTGTATATCCATAACATCAGCGAATCGGTTTTGAATATTTTAAATTCCGCAGTATCTATAAATTTAAGGCAATATCGTGACGATGATTATATGGTATAAATTTATACTGTATTTAAACAATATAGTGAATAGGTTTACACTGGTATGGCGTTTAATTGTTGGACTACACGAAAGGTAAATATACAGTATACGCTTTCAATCACATCCTAAGTTTAATAGATAATCTTCCAAGTGTTTCTTTTGCATTCTCTGAACCATACATGTTTGTAATAATCACAATTAAGAATACTACTGTGAATCCCACACACATCCAGGCCCAGGCTTCTCCAAAAACCCCATAAACTGTTTTTACGCGTCGATATAAAGGTATCTGAAATGCAACTGATACATCTTCTAATGTTTGTACAGCTGCATATGGTTCTCCATATGGGCCCCATACACCACTAATCCCATAACTGTTACACCTGAAAAGAGTAAACCCATTTTCTATTGACCTTATTACATTTATTCGGGGATGATAATTTGCACTTGGTCCTTTATAAATATAAGATGAAGAAAATCATGAAGCAATCAATTATCAAAATTTTATTACCCATATATAGTATAATTAAAAAAATTGCAGCGAGGATGTAAGTTTTCTGAATAATTACCCCAGGTCCAACTAGCATCCAACATAAAATCGACTCCGTGCGTCGAAGCTTGACCAATTAACTTCGGAAAATTGTAGTCGAAACAAATTGCACCTCCGATGATCCCAAAATCCGATGTATGAGAAGTTTGTAAGGTACCTTTTCCGGGACTTAACCCATCTTCAATAACAGGAACTAAATTGATCTTTGCATAATCCATTATTAT